ACTGTTGGGGGGGGGGGGGTTATGTACTGAACCACTTTTTGAATATGATCAAACGAACCCTGAATCAGGGACGTAGCGCGTGCTGCAAGAGTTTTGCTACAAGATTCTTATGTTCGTATCTTTGAGCACCTACATGTACGCTACCAGCAACGTCCGGTGTCAGCGCCCTGTGGAAGGAATACATTTAGTTTCATTTAATAATTTATGACTGTCCGTTGATCCTATTTGCTGAACATTGTCCTGCTCTGTTGAAAGGCCGTCTGGGTTACAAAACGATGATCGAAGGTTCTATATTTGCCGAGTAAATATATCAAATTGCTTATTTGTAAGTAATGACAAAGTTGAAGGACTGTCTAGATTACAAAACGGTGACCAACGGGTATGTATTTGAGGAGTAAACAAATTACAACTAGTTTATTTGGAAGTAACGAGTCTTTGGCATTATTTACAGTTGTGCATTATTAAAGAATCATTACTTCGTCTGAAAGTACACAATTTGAATTATTCAAATTATGACCTCCTATGACGTCAAGGTATAGTAGTTCTCAGTGCTGATATGGCTAGAGAGTTGCCGTAGGGATTAAACATTCCATTTCGTCTATTTAATTTGGCAGTGTTAACTCTATTATATAGGCGTATCCAGGGAAAGGGTAACAGGAGATACGTCCCTTATCAGTTTTTCTACTCTCTCTATCTCTCTCTCTTTCTCCTCTCACTTTCCTTCTCTCTCTCTCACTCACCCTCTCACTCTTTCCCTCTCTCTCGCTCTCCCTCCCCCCTCCCTCTCTCTAACCTTTTTCTAACACGAAAACTTAATGAGCAGAGTTGATAAAAAGACCCCCCCCCCTCCCCCGGTCACCAATCTCTCTTTCTCTCAAATAATCGTTGATGCGCCAGTGCATTCAGGTGAGAGAGAGAGGTGCTCGGCACTAATATTGAAAAAAAATCAAATTTAATGATATCGATAATTCGGAATGTGGGGTTCTGGTTATAAAATAACACTTGTTGTTACCGCTCTTGACCGTGCAGGGTACAAAACGCTGATTAATTCCCACCAAACATCACCGTCTAATTACAGTAGAAGAGCACGAGCGTGCCAATGCGTAGTTTCACCTACGCTCTGGCTACTCTGGCCTACAATTATCTTTGCATAACTGAATATTAAGCAATCACGACAGGCAAGGAAGGAGAAGGCGTCAAATAAGAACGTTTTTTCAGTAAATCACTCCCGTGGCAGTTGTAGAATCAACAATACGAAAGTTGGAGAAGCCGACTGGCATCACCCCTTTCTCCCTGTCTGTTTTTATCTCATATCAGGGAAGGGTGGGTGGGGATGGGGTTTGGGTTTAGGGGTGGGATTAACGCGTGAGACTGTTTAAATGTGAACCGTAATCACAAGACGCTTTATTTTCTACACTGGCTCACTACCGGAACCAATTTGGCTTCCTCTTAGTTGGTGCGCAACATAGTTAAGCAACGACGCGTCAACGAATTGCAATCAGATACTTAAAAAATTGACCACGTACTTTGAACCGAGAAGATTTAGTACAATTGCCGATTCTAGGTTTTGCAGCTCCTGGGTGATACTTTACCCTTAAAGTGCCTACAGGCAAGAGCCTTATTAATCATATCGAATGTAAAACGTCGTATTCAATAAACATGGAATAACGCCTTCCACCAGCAAAGGGAAAATGATTAGAACCAAACCATGCGCTCTCGTAATTGTCAGTGATTTAGATTATCGGAATTGATAGTAACATTGGGGAAAGGAGTAGTGCAATGAAAAACACGCTAATATCTCTCGATTACTCCTGGATTTGCATCTTCATGTGTCTTAATAACGCGTTTGGCTCATATCGTGGCTAACTGGTCTGGCAACGGGAATTGCCCCAAGAATTCATTGTTAGTTGTGTACGCCTCATTACATCTAGGCAATTCTACAGTTTTGAAAACAAAAAAACAAAGGGATTGTATGCATTGCATTAAATAACTACAAATGTTTTGTATTGGAAAGCAATAATTTCAAGGAAATGTTCATAAAAACATTCCGTAACATTGGATATATGTCATCTTAAATCTAATTAATGACTTAAATAAATGAGAAGCGTCTTTTGCTTATTTGTTTTTGAAACATAATCGGTGAAAATCAATTCAAAGGTCACAAAGAAGGTCAAACTGGCTTAAATTCCGACACCTCTAAAATATTGAAGAATTTCTCCAACTCTTTGGATCGGTTATATCTATATATTAGAACGATTGATTAATCAGCCCTTAGCGTGCATAATAGGCTGAGATACAAGTACCAAGGGATAAAATGATCACTGTATGATTCATAGGTCCGATATAACACCAATTGTATTAAACACAATTATCCAAACTTATCTTGATATATGTTATAAGTAAAATATCGTGAAATAACGTCCTTGTTGACTCATTTGATACACCCAGAATAAGATTAATAGTCCCAATGTGACGCGGATAGTATAAACACAATTAACTTAACATGGTAAAAAAACTGTATATGCTCTATAAGCACAACTATTATAGCATGAAGATGTGTCTGTTTTACTCTGAGCTTAGTTTAATATCCATCTAATTGGTAATTAACATAACGATCACTGATATATCCGTTAGCAACTAATGTATTTGGTTGTTATATACCATCCTTTCTTGAAACTCAATTAGCTATAATTACTATTAGTTCAGTATCTTTGTTGGATTGCGGTCCATTTTTCTGCTGTGATTTAACAATGATAATAGTAAATTTTATCTTAGTGTCTTTGGCTCGTAATTTAATTTTTGGAGAATCTTCTTTCAAGAAGCATTAAAATACTTCAAACAGACAACCATGCAAACTCACACGCACACATACAATTGACACATGTTGTATCTTATGTGTTAGTGTAATACTGAAAAAAAAAAAGAAAAAGAAAAGAAAATGCTTACCTTGTGATAGAAGTATTGTATTGCCCGACTGCCATGTTGGCGGCAAAGAAAAGGTACAGCGCCATTTGTAACGCTAGGTCCCTGAATTCCATTTTCTGTACAAACGTTTTTTTTACGGCTCTAAGGAATACATCTAGGCCTTGTCAACTGTAAACCCGGCCCTTTTTGTTGAGAACCACAAATCGAACAAGTGTCGTCTGCTTTATGATTTCAAAATTGTTTTGGTGGTCAGACGTTGGCTAACAATGATGCGTTGCTGACTGATGTGAGCGTCCGGGTTAAATATATGGACGCCTGAATTTGGCATCGGTGCAACTCCTTCGGACTTCGAGATGCTGTCTCTGTCGTCTGCTCGACAAAAGACTTTGTCAAAGTTCCAGTGCGCTGACAAAATTGAATATTCGCTGCCCGGTGTCTTGTTGAGCGTTAATTTGGCTGGCAGATACGAAATGTCGTTCAATTCTAAAGAAGCAGCGCTGTCGTCTGCACCGTACGAAAAATGTTAAATATCCGAAGGGAGTTTTCCCATATGAATGTCGTTAAACTTCCTGGAGATGGTGAAGTTCGCAGTATGTTTCCCAGAAATGGAATTGTCTTTCAAACAGCTAGAATTCTGTGCCGTCCGCTAGATTTCCAAATATCATCTGCTAGAATTCCAGAGTCGTCTGAACCACCCAACACGCAATACAGCACTGCGCCGGGATTTCCGTTTTGATTGATTATTTATACACTTTGATTTCGCACACAAGCACTTGTTGTTTCTATTTTGCTTTACGTGATATATCCACTGATTATTTCCCTACTAAACCTATGGCTTACACATCAATCCGCATCTTCTAATGGCGATTATGAAATCTCGAAGCTTGAAGTCACGCAAGTTACTGGTTCCAACTCGTCAATAAAAGTACATCCTAACAAAAGCTTTCTCACTTTTGGCTAACGCATTATCTGTATATCTGTCCGTGTGGAAAGACAGGCCAAAAGCCCCAGTCTGGAAGTCATCACGCAAAAGTGTACTCCATCGCTTCCAAAAAACTCGATTTTAGCATTACAAAAAAGCTATTGACTTCACCGTGACGTCTATCCACATTACTGACACAAGAGTGTTTCCGCACGGTGTCCCAGATGCAGTTTCCCCCCTCCTTAAAGCTGCTTGCCACTCTGCGTCTTAATTGAAAGTAATTTTTTCTCGTTAAACCAGATCACGAATCTGTGGATGTTACGGGACGATCAAATTCAAGACAGGCAAGGCGAGGATCGTGATCATCCGTCACAAGTGGTGATGAAACCTCAAACAGCGTCTCTGCTGCTTCGTTATTCTGCTATCGCGCTCGCAAATCGAGCCAGTCCACGTTAATAATGGAGCAACGCTAAATACATTACTCCTCCATGCTTGCTTCGGAATCCCCTGTGACAAAAGAAAAAAAAAGAAAAGTGATGTTAGACCATGATTTTGCAGCGCATCATCCCCGTATTGCGGCTACAGATGGTGGTGAATTCAATAAGCGTTGTTTTGCGAAGCTTCGACACATGGGGCAAATATCGTCTTATGGTTCAATAAAAACGTTATTGTTCCGCGGTATCAAGTACACAAACACAGGTGCGCACCGGCGGAAATATACAAAACAATTGATTTGTGATACGACACACGAGACCTGCGCTGGCAAAAGGTGGGGGTTTTGGACACCGTGGACTTCAACACGAGGAAGTATAACGGCGGTGTGGAACCCGATGTGTACTTTGCTGATTTATTTTCCGTTACGGTGTGGCCACATGAACGACAAATAGCAATGCACAATAATAGGCACACAGACGTACACTGAGCTTATGACAATATGCTGCTGATAACTAATTTTCCTTGAACATACTGCGAATACGCTTTGTACACAAATTTGTGCATGATACCGGTTTTAACCCCTTGTAAGTTGTTATGAATAAATAAGAAATTGCTTCTGAGCCTCTTCATGTGTGAAACCACGACAAGGCTCAAAGCCTATATACTTCAATAACTTTCACCTATTGACATTATCTGCGGGCCATTTTAATAATGCATACAGAGGAAAAACACCATGAATGGACACTTCGATCGGCCGTTTTCGGTATCGGACGATTACATGGGTCAATTACATGACAACAACACCCGAACAAAGCCATGTGCACAGCGGCGAAAACGTCATGGCCCCAAGTCACATTTTACGTGACTTTCGCACAAAAATGCCCACTGGTCATCGTTCCGTAACTCTATTAGCGGGTCTGTTTTAAAAAGCCATATGCATAACACCATTACGCCGATTTAAGATAGAGAACCAAGTGTTGAAAAATTGGAAAAATATTAGGCACAGCACTTGCTCTATCGACGTTTTAAACCCGTAGGTTATCTGTCAGTGATACTAAGGGGGCGACCTTGACCTTGGCGAGGCAAAAAGCACGCGACTTATCGCGGCATATCCGTATTGATCTGCCACCCGCAAAATGCAAGGATGTTTTTATTAAAATGATCTGGGGGCCCCCTGATGGATACTTTCTCATTTGTTTTATGATCGCAATCATTTCAAATCATGGCCGCACATTGTCGTTTATTTCGGACTCACGGGACACTTGGTGGTGTTATGAATAAAAGAGAACATCAAGAAGTCAGTTAGAATAATATCTGGTGGATATGGGGGAAGAGGGGGGTCTATAAAGCAGCTATTTAATCCTGTAAGATTCGATTTTAGGTTCACAGATCGAGAAGAAGTGAGCAACAAGAGTCGTGGATTTCCAAACAGCTTTATTCCCACTACCTAACTTCCTCTCTCTACCCACCACCTGTTCTATTTATATGTACCTTAATATCTCATTATAATAATACCTTATAATAAATCTTACTAGGCGCGGGCGCCGCGACATCCTATAGTCTAGGCGATTCTCTGTAATTCGAGCTTGTAATATAAGTGAATGATATAATTTCAAGTGAAATGTTTGTGAATGAGCTATATCTGTTATTCGTTTAGTCTCCCTCCCCCTCTCTCTCTTGACGTGTGTGTCCATGTGCGTGAGCGTGCGTGTGTGCACGTGCCTTGATGTTTTTGCATGTTCTTCATAATTAAATTTCGGGTTTATATGTCTTACATTCCACTGACTTTAAAACTGAAAATTCAGCTTTTTATTTGTTTTCCATTCTTCTGGCAACCTGTGAGACCGTTCTCTGCCTCATCATGTAGATTTTCCAGACCGTGACAGAACTTTCTTAAGCCAGAACTATGCCACAATTAGTCTTTATTAAGTAACGTGTCGGAATTTTATTGAAATAAGCGCAGCCAATGTTGAAAATCCAATTAATATAAAGCATCGTATAATGAACCGACTGCACGTTCATTACATTCTTCTTATTCCGTGCTGATGAAAGAGGAAACTCTGTCCAAAAGTTTAAGCAATGTTCATAACAATTTGACAACAATTGAACATAAATTATGCATTGCGTTTCCTTGTTTGTCGATTTTAATTAATTCCCATCTGTAGGTTTGCGCCATACCCCAACACACCGCTTTCCGGCACTCTTTGTCAAGGTTCTTTAAGAAACACAGACTCGTGCGATTTTTATCACTTTCTTGAATTTATCAAGGCGTTGATGTCAGTAATGCAGGCGAAATGAGAATTATGTTCTTGGTTGCCATCTCTGTAACACGTAATTACACTCTGGCGTATACGTATGCTTGATATGTAAGAGAGGCCAAAGGGATTCGGTTAACTCCCCCCCCCCCCACCTCCCCTTACTTCCTATACTACAATCTCAGGAGTTGATATTTGAATAAATGTTTCCTTATTTACGTGAGGGTCTACGGGGGGATGCTCAATCTACCATCTGTCTCGTTCTCTCTCCACTTAGTAAAACAATACGTTTTACCTGTATATAATTCAAGGTTTAAACACATATATCAAAAGTGACACAAGAATATCAAAGGTGTTTCATCATGCACCCTGGTTCTGGAACTTTTGTGAGATTTCACAGTAGGTTTAATTAGGGATTATTGTACACCTGTCCTTTCACAAAGTAAAAAGAATAAGACCACAGTAGTTTTAAATCAAAACAATAAGCGATGTAGGCATAATAGATAAATATATAAATATTAATAATGTGATAAAAAACAAGTTATTCAATATCGCATCAAATATCTCCCTGTTTAAAGTAACTGACGTGCAAACATATAATGTCGCTAATTCACTGTTAAGAGAAAACATTGCGTGTGGTTCCGGTGTAAAAATAAAGGTAACAATACCCTATTTAGTGCAACAAATTCGATTAACAGAATGACGTGGTACTGCATAAAACATCACACAGAATACCAGTAGAAATCGTTAAATGGTCTAGATGATACCGTTGCTTTTTGTCCTCAGCAAAATGAAATCAATGATATAGATGCATTTCTTATTTGATAAAAGAGAACAATGTAAACGCTAGGGGATAACAATAGCGCTTCCATGAATTGCCCGCGTTTTTCACAAACGATTTTTTTTTGTTTTCTGGTATACCAGTTTTCATTCGTTTTTTTTTCATCAGAATCTGAAAATGTAAACCTAAAAAGCCAAACGTTAGTCACGCAAAATTAGTTTCCTAACGAAGCCACGCACCTTTGACTTTGTGTGTTAGTCATCGTTACTAATTGCTTTAGTCCCAATGACTTATAATGCGTTTTGCCATTTGGCCTTTTTGAGTCAGTCTCGGCTCTCTGTAACGCAAAAAAGTAGTTGACAACGACGCAGCGGTGGCCTTACATATTATGAGTTATACAAATCCCAATCTAAATCCTGTATTTATACGTTTTTAAAACATCTTAATGTCCAAGAAGGAAAATGTTCAGGTATGTGAATTGATATGCATGGAAATAGAATGAATGAATGAATAAATGAATGAATGAATGAATGAATAACGTGGCAGTTTTGTTAAAAGTCGATTGGCATGTCTGTGCAGAATATGAAAGAGGCGGGGCCGGCCAGGACGACGCCCTGTTACAGTCAAAAGTTAACTAGTTTTAGATGGCTTTGGTGCCAGGCGCTATAAAGCACGGCTATAAATTACTGAATACTTAAAATCATTCTGGACAGCGGACACCTTTGCGTGTTGTGCACCGTACTGGTGTATCCAAATTGAAAAAAAAATGCGACATTCATGGGCGCGTTTACACACAGGTCATGTCGACCTTCCTCAGGGTGGCAATTTTTTTTTTATGAACGCCTGATCAAATATCCGTACCTTTGCTCTATTCACTGATGTTATGGTGGCGGGTGGATCCTTTGGGTAGAGAGAAATTAAACTTGCTGCCTTTCGTGAACGTTTAGCTTTATCACTTTGTGAAAAGAGAACGACTCTACCCAGGATAATCCGACCCACTTTAATGTAAACGCGCCTCGTAATTTTTTCAGCGTCATACATGTAATAACCCATTCAAATGTGGTTGTACAAGGCGTGCGTATTGTAGCAGAAATCGGCCAACACGACTCCCAGATTACTTTGTCGTGGCGGTTGGTACCGGACTCTCTCTGCCTTAAATTTTTAATGACATGCTCTATCTTGACGACACTGGAAACTAATCTGTTGCAGAATGGCACATTAAGTGTAGATGTTAATGCTTTTTGACATTTCTTTTCGTGTCGTCACTCGTCTTTGATTCCAGTTATATCGTGTTCAAGTTCGTAATTAATTTGTAAATACCTCTCTACCCTCTACTAGGGTCGCAGATTAAACATGTAAACTTTTCTCCAACGCGACAATTGAGAAATGTAAATATCTAATGAAAAAACAAGCTGTGACCCTGATGGAGGGTACTCCCCCCCCCCACCCCCACCCCCAAAAGTAGAGGATTTAACTGCGAACATTTGCGCCAATAAACTGTTATTCATGTAGTCACTCAACTTAGAGATTTTAGAAAGCTAATGCAGGGGTACAAAAGGAAGAACACTGTATGTTTTTAAGTTTATAGTTTTCTGCGCTTAAAAAGTGGACCAGGTTTCTCTTAATTTGTTCGATAATTAGTACAACAGAAAGCGCAGGCACTTGTACAAATACACTGACGCACTGGTACATGTCAGCATGAACCACTTCGCAAGACAAATCGATAGTAATCACTGATCGAAATATTGCTATTTCATGAGATAATTGTGGGTCGCTATGACGCAATTGATCGGAACGCTACTCTAGGTCGCGTTCGCACTAAGTCTTAACAGGCCGAGTTGGTTTATTTGATGAAGGAGTTATGCATCTGCATTTTGGTGTGCTTGGAAAAAAATATTTTAACGTTAAAAAAGTAAAAATTAGTTGTTTGCGGGATGCGACATGGTTAAACTCCATCTCGAACTAGGATGTCACTGAGATCGACGTAAAATCGGTCTGTGTTCTACTCGTGTGAACGCCAACTTGTTATTAACACA